TTGATCGCTTCTAGAAAAGGAGAAAGATTATTATATATTTCAGGCAAACAATATAATTTAATGGACCCTTATAACCTCAAAAATCCAGTAGACGCGAGTGTGCTTTTTGAAAAGAAACAAATTCAAGAACCATACATAATTCGATCTGATAAAATATCTGATAAAATAATTTATACAATTGACGGAAGGGTGTTAATTGATAAATTAGTGCCTGATATTTGGATCTACCATTTACGAAAAGAACTGAAGGACACAAATAGAATTACTACTCCATCTACAAATACAATTGGCATTATAATTGAGATTGTGAATAACAGATTAACTGATGATTACTATGTTGATAGAAAAGAATTTAAAGGAGAATTTTTAAAATGGGGATTAGAATTAGACGATAAATCAATTAAACTTACAGTAATTGATTTTAATAATCGCGAAAAGAGATGAAACCCAGATAATAAAAAAAGGCACCTGGATATTCTTCCATCATATTATTCTAATGGAAAAAATTTATACTACGTTGTAAAGTTCTTGATAATGATGATTTCATTACGATTACACGTATGGGTGTAATTATCTGGACTTATAATTATAATCTTACTGAAATTAAGATGCATTATTATTGGAATTATTGGAATGGTCATTTAGAGCAGTTCGAATTTGAAATGATAAAGATTAAAAATAGCTTTGAGAACTGGACTTCAGGAAGAATTCTTCCTGCATCAAGTTATGAAACGATCTATAACAATTTATATATTAAATTTGGCGAAAAAGAGAAAGATGAAAAAGAGCTTTTCAAAGAGTTTTTGATAGACAATATTGTTGAAGAATTTTATTTAACCTTCTATGGAAAAATTCTCATGAAAAAACATTTATTAAATTAAGGGACGAGAAATGGATTCAGTTTTTATGCAGCAGCTGTGTAGACAAGTGCTTGTTAGATAATCATTTGATTTTTAAAATTCCTTTGTTGAATATTATTTTTGAAAACTTTAAAGAATTATCAGAAAATCATCCTGCACTTGTAGCAAATGTTTTATCTTTGATAGGTTATGTAGTTTCTTCTAATATTGTGATTCCAAACTCACATCTTTCCAGTTATGGAAGATACTATCAATTATCTAAAACATCCTTTTTTGATGTATTAACTTTTAATCTTTGGATTAGTTGGATTAGTTTCCAAGAAAGTTTTCGAACTAGTTTCAAAAATTTCAAGTAACTCATCCTTATTTTCGAGATTTCATTGTAAAACCGATTTTTTATTATTTGGGTCATAGTTCAACAATACTTGATGTTTATTATTGGGGTCATAGTTCAACAATACTTGCAATTCCTCTACCAAATTTCATTTCTTATCCAAAAGATTACAATTTTTGGGAAGAAGTATTATTATTACCTAGTCCCAGTTCTTTTACATATTCAAATGAGTTTGAAATAATAAATGAAGAATTTTATAGATATTTAAATGGGGAAGCACTACTTAGATTTAAATGGAACATTTATGGAAAAAAAAATTATTTTGCAATTTGGGCAATTAATGCTTATTTTCTTTGTAGCTTCATAATAACTGTAACACTTTACAAAGATATTTCTCAATTTAGGCTATTTATTCTTTTAAATATAAATATTGCTCTCGGGATTTATCATATATATTGTGAATTACGCCTATTTATTGTCGCACCATTAGCTTATATATCTAGTGCATGGAATGTATTAGGTAATATGAATTTAATGTGTAGTATTAATTATTTTATCAAATCATGACTAATGTCCTATAATCTTTTTTTGCTCATAAACATAAGATTTAAATGTATTATTACTTCCAACGGTGTCGTCAATTATATGGCTTCATACTAATGTCATGCCAACAGAAATGGTTTCTGTTTCTACTTTATTTCTGGAAATCAAACAAGTTTTATTTTTAATTCGGACTGATTTATTTGGCCATTTCTTCTCTATAATAACTGGAACAGCTCCAAGGGCATTTTCGCTTTTTTTAATATTATTATTTATTATAATTGCCTTTGCACATTCATTATACCTTTTATTGGGCTATTCCGCTAATTCCGATCCGTGGAAAACTTATAACCTATAGATCCTAATGGTACAATTGAAGAAAACTCCTCGCTTATTAAATCTCATACCGTGACTACAAATAAGTTTATGACGTTTGGCTCATCAATTTCGACTGTTGTTCTTATGCTATTAGGTAAATTTTAAATTGTTCTTTTTTAAAAAAAAATTGCTATATGTTAACTATGGTAATAAATAGCAATCCTTTTTTTATGAATGTTATACCAACTTCTAAAATGTATACATTTAATAGGAGACATGACACCAATTTCTGATTTGAATTTAAATAACAACCTCACTTTATTAATTTTAATGATCATATTTATTTTTTGTGATAATTCTTTACTTAGGCCACGCAAAGTAAATTTTTCGTTTAACATTACATGAAATCTGAAACTTGGGTCGGTCGGTCGTTTTTTTTTTTTTTTTTTT